TTTCAAATCATATATATATAATTTTGCAATCAAGGTCATGTCTGAGAGGGTGCATTGTTGGCACAGCCATTTTGCGTATAATAACCGGTAAATTATATTTATTTATACGGAGGGAAAACCATGCTCACTACTCGGTATGCTGATGAACCGGAACTGCCTTTATTTGCATATGTCCCTTTTTGGAAAACATGTCACATGACATGAGCAGTGTGAGGGCACACCCAATACAAACGTTAACAAGAAGACATGGCCACCGACACGTCTCCTCCTCTCCTCTCCGTGCGCCGCGAGGCCTTTTGTTGTGGTTTTGCCACGGAGTTTATGAATGGGCTACAGGAAGTAACACTCAGCTCGGCGCTTGAATAACGCGCTTGAAAGAACCGCGGGGCTCTCAAATGTCTCTGAGGGGAGTTGTGTTTAGACAAAAATGTTATTTACAAGTTGTTTGTAGAAGGTTTTTTAAATGTTCTCATAATAATGGGAGAAAACGTTCTTAGAACAACATTCTTGAACATCCTTCTCAGCTAACAGGGAACATTCTCAAGAGGTTGACACAACAACGTTACTTATACATTGTTTCTAGAACTGTTTTCTGGAACATTTTAGTAGATGTCCATTTAATTAGTTTTTTTTTTTTAAAGGGGTCCTATTATGCTTTTTCAACTTTAGTTAGTCTGTAATGTTGCTGTTTGAGCATAAAAAAGATCTGCAAAGTTACAAAGCTCAAAGTCCAATTCAAAAGGAGATATTTTATTTAACAGAAATCATTTTTCAAAAACTACAACGAACGACTCGTTTGGACTACAACGCATATTTTCTGGGATTTGTGATATCACAAATACCGACGAATGGGATGAGACCTGGTTGAGCTGCACTAGAGAAGTCAACGAGTGTTATCATTATGTCGGGGACACGCTAGCTTTCCCAAGGCAGATAAACTTAGAGTGGTTACAATCATCCGGGTTTAAATCACGGCGGGCTTTCATTTGATACAGGAACTATTCGAGCCGTTCATGCCAGACTGGGGAGAGAGGTGTTGTAATAATGTAAAATATGTGAAAAATAATGTGTTTTTCAAACAACCTAGTATGAGAGCATGTTCTAGTACACCCCCAAAACAAAATCAAGGGATAATGTACAGTCAGCAGATTATTTTGCAAAATAAACCTCTGCAGGGTGATAAAGACTACACTGCGTAATTTTCCCGCTTATCATTGCCTGATAAGTAAATAATTGAACGCAAAATATCAATTTGACATTTTAATTACCTCAATATGACTCGCATATCAGTTGTAGCAGTTGTGGTTGTATCAATAACAGACCGACCACTAGAATCAGCGCGATCGAAGAATCAGAGTTGTATTGGAGGGAGACATGTCGAAATAAATGAATGATGCATGGTTCTGCTCTAAGCATGTATGTTACAAGAAAATACTGCCAGTGCCAGTTAAACGTAAAGCAGATTATGAATATACTTAAGATTCACCAATACCAAAACAATGTGTCAACACCAGACGCGAGCGGCACGACGTGACAAAAGCAAACAGAACCCAGTGATGTTCTCAATGGATGCGGCGCGACGCGACACAACAAATCCATGACAGTGATGCCCCATTCTATTTATGACGAACTCCAGCGCTCTGACACAAAGGAAAAGACAACTGGATTTGCAATGTTCACTTTGTCGCGTTCAGTGTGGTGAAAAGACAAGAAAATATATAGGCATATCTCGCCCTCAGATTCACCAGTACAAAGGTGGGCAAGTTAAGACGGCAAGTAGGCTATAAGTAGTACTATGTTAATCACAATATTTCAAATCATATATATATAATTTTGCAATCAAGGTCATGTCTGAGAGGGTGCATTGTTGGCACAGCCATTTTGCGTATAATAACCGGTAAATTATATTTATTTATACGGAGGGAAAACCATGCTCAGAAATGTTACTGAGGAGCAAATCAGCATATTTGAATGCTTTCTGAAGGATCATGTGACACTGAAGACTGGAGTAATGATTCTGAAAATTCAGCTTTGATCACAGGAATACAGTATATGTTCAAACATTCAAATAGATATTTTAAATTGACACATTTCACAGTGAGTACGTTTACATGGACAACAATAATCCGATTTGCAGTGGTCAACTGTTTGACGGCAAATAAAAGAGCTTCAACACCGCCATCGTCTGTATGCATGCACAAATAATTAACTGCACTTGAAGCTTTCATAACATTAAAAATGAAACACCCAAAAGGCATCATCACGAAGACAAACTATATGTTTATACGTGAAATTCCGGAGGGAAGTTGGATGGCCTCACATGGGGACGTAATGACGTGTGCCATTAATCTCCAGCGTTGCTATACTCGGTTGTGACAGGCTCCCAGAATTTCATCGTTAAAGCAGGAGAGTTCTGTTGAAAATACAACTGCTGGCGCTGTAGATTGCATTAGTGCCCGCCCACTTTTTCATCGTCGCTTGTTCCGGAAGTATTTCTCCCATAGGGATTTTTTGCTACAGAGTCATAAGCATGAACTATAGCTGCATCTAAATTCGAATACTTCCCTACTATATAGCATGTGAAAACAGTACGCCAAACGAGTAGTATGTCTGAATTCATAGTATTTGGGAAATAAATAAATAAATAGTCATAAAGTAGCCGGATGACCTATTACTTAGACTGGCCCTGTGTACGAAATTGTCCCCTATACTCTTAAGTAGGGCACTATTTGAGAGGACAGCCATTTTTATTGGTTTCCGAAACCTTGGACATTATCGAATGCACTCATTCAATCCCACAATGCACCGCAATAACGAGTGTACAACTGATGTATGCCAAAGAACTATGATGTATGCCAAAGGTATAAATTACTTTTAAATTGATTATTAAATTGTTTAATTGAGGTTTATCCACCTTATTTTTCCTGTAAGAGCGGGCAGAGCCATTTGTAAATTTTATGTGTCTGGCTTCCGGTGTCATCCGCTTTATTTTAACTGTACAAAACAGCTCGTTTTGCCGCTTGATATTGCAAATTGCTGTGTCTTACGATATTATTGTAATGTATTCTTAACTATGAACACACTGGTTTGTTACTTTCAACACTTTGTTATTCTTCTCATTATTTTCATACAGCGGCTAATGAACCAGAAGTCTCGCACTTTCACAGAAAACGGCTTACTTATGCGTTGAAAAATAAAGGTGCTTTCATGCCATATCGTAATTACCGTGGTTATGAGATACCAACGTGTAAAAAGCATTCACGTCCTCGTAGAACTCGTAATTACAACTTGTGAACTGAGAGTTTTCTGAAAGCTACAACTTGTACCACCTGACAACCTCAGATTCATTAGGCGCTGTTTAGGCATTGATAGTGCGATAGTTCCGAGTCCGAGGGTGTGAACAGCTCTAAGTAGAACGTAACGTTTTGTCATCTCGAAATCGCAGTAATTACGACATGGCGTGAATGCAGCAAAAGGTGGATACATAATTTCCATAACAGAGTTCAAGATAAATCCTTTCATCTTACTACTGGAGCTACCAGATTCAAATGGTTATTAAACAGCAAGCACAAATGCGGCAGCCCTTCCAGTGCACTCAGTGTCTGAATTCACTTACTCGTTTTCATTCCCTCCTTCAAGTGAACTGTATTAGTGGACTAATGTTGGGAATAGTGGATACGGGTATAGGGGGCGATTTCGGATCCTGAAGTGTGCATTGGATTGACACTTTACTATCCCATGAGGCCATGGAGAGGACTTATGAATGGCAGTGAAGCAACGCAACTTACACTGGTAGGTCATGTGACAGTAACTAAATAGCGAATGTAGTATGTCCGAATTTCATTCATACTAGTACCCACATTCATACTATATAAAACATACTTTTTAACGGTTGTGAAGTTCAAACTCAACTGTAGTACCATATATAAAAATATTAATTTAAAGCTGTTGGTTGTTTCTATATAAAACTATATATTTTGAGTTAATTGCCAAAATATTAATATATACAAAAATATTTTTGAGAGCGTAGGGAGATCGAATCCATTACAACAATGGTGGCGTTTCATGGGAGTGGGCAGAGCTAAAGATCCTTCTGGTGCGAAGGATTTTCTGTACAGCATAATGGGTAATGTAGTTTTTAACCACAAATTCCACTATAAAACTTGATTATTTTAAAAATAAGTTGAATTAATGCGAACAGATTGGTTTAACAAAAGCATTAATAATCAATTAACAACATCGGAGCACACAGCAGGCCTGTCTTTAAAGATTTGTCAATTATTGTTAAAAATCCATTTCTCTATGGAGAAAACGAATGGAGTTTTTTATTCCGTAACCCGACTATTACTCTGTGAGAGCAGCTGCAGCGAAAGAAGTTTCATCAGATTCCTTTAAACGCACCATGCAAATGCTGACTAACACTCTGAATGATGAAAATTAGCTTCACTTGTAGCACCAAAGAAAAGACTGCAGTCTCCTACAAATGAGGCTGTACAAGGGACGTGGGATGTGGGAGGAATTTTTAAGTGTCACACACTGGAATATCATTCATGATTCAATGGATAAATTGAGCATTGTTTGTACATTACAAACACAGTTTACCACATCAATCAAAAACAATTCAAATACTTTTTTTTTTTGATAAATCTAATGTGACTTGCTATAATTCACAGAATATTGCTAAATGACAATGATTCTTTAAGGAGAAAATCGGTACAGAGTGTACTTTTTGTTTAGCAGCCTTTGTTCCAGAAGTATTTTTTCTATTATTTTTTCCCATAGGTATTTCTTATTCATTTTTAAAAGTTATAAGCCATAATCTACAAACTTAGATTTTAGATTGAAGCAAAAAAAAGTATTTTAAAATTGTACAAAAAAAGAACTACAATCCCATGATGCATTGTGTATGATAGAAGATTATAGTTATCTATAAAACTATTGATTTAAATATATTGATTATATATACAGAAATAATATTATTTACATTTATTGCATAATATGCATATTAAGCACAGAAATATTTAAAACAATTGTCATTCTCTGGTTGATTAATATTTTATAGGTATTGGGTCACAAGTTGAAATGATGTGGGCTTATGCCATCGATTAAAGCTAGGGTAGGCAGTTTCTGTGCTGCTAGTGCCATATACCGGAACTGCAAAAAGAAAGCATGTTTTCAAACTACCTTTGCAAAAGCCCCTTTCGCATGCAACACCTCCCCCATCTCAAACATCATAAACATTATGGATTATGGATCTATAAAATGGCAGGTAAAAGCAGGCTAATTTCAATCAAATGTTCAACATATCAGTACTTTTAACTTAAAGTTTAGATTATCTGTTGAGAAGAAACTCTAAGTTAATTTTATCAATTGAAATTCAAACATTCTATCAAATTCCTCCATTTTGTAAAATCATCGCTCTTGTTTTACCTGGTTGCCTGTCTCTGTGTATTTTGGCAAGTCTTCAAATATTTATTTTTTTGGAGCACTTTAATTATTGGTTGCCATCAGGCTGTGAAAATACTTTCAACCAGTATAACAGAAAATGTTTCTGGAAAAAAATTGCCTACCCTAGCTTTAACAACCTCGTAACTCTTCTTTAACGGTTTGTTACTTTTTTACATTTCTCTATGGAGAAAACAAATGGGAAAGTGTTTTTGTTCATTCCCATTTCTCACAAAAAAAAAAGAAAAGAAAAACTCTTACAGGCTATATTCCTTGTCATTCTGACAAATCTTTTGACTTCTCAGTCAGAGAGTCCTTACATATCTTACAATTCTGTCCATACCCTTTTGAGAAGATTGAAATGTCAACCAGCCCTGGTTGAAGAAACTGATGATCCCGTGGAAGCCATCAGATAGATGCTCCCACGTGACTTCCACTTCTGCATCCTTCAGTCGCTTACAGAACAAAATGCCATCATCCCTCAGCACATCAAACTCACAGGTCAAGACGAAGGTGGGCGGCGCGAGGCGGAGAACCTCATCCTCAGCTAGTAAAGGGGAGATCTCTGGATCCAGCCCCTGTTTGATGATGTGATAGACATGACCATCATGGCTTGGGATAACCTGCGAACTTCTTGCTCCTTTTCTAAACTGAGGTGGAAGATTATCTGGATCCAGCCATTTCTTATAGTGACGTTTTAGCTCGACAGGAACATGCTTGCCTTCCAGAATCTGCTGGCTCACAGAAGTATTCCCGTTGAGGTACTGTAGGAAATAGAACACCGCTCGGCCTCTGAACAATATGGGCACAGAGTGGTTCTGCTGGTATGAGGGCAGGTGGAAATCTGCCATCTGCAGTGCCGGGTAGATGAGAACCTGGGCACAGGGAGATGGCAGATGACAATCCTGTGTCTTCGACAGCCTCTGGCAGAGAGCGGCTGCCAGGTTCGCCCCTGCGCTGTCCCCACCAACTGCCACCCTGCGTGGGTCCACCACCGAAATCAGTTGCCGCTATTGAGAGGAAATGGCGAGTCACGACCTCACAGTCGTCCAGGTGGGCAGGGTACCTGTGCTCGGGGGCCAGACGGTAACTAAACATGGCAAACAGAGAAGGAAAACAAGAGGAAAAATTAAACCAGCCAAAATTTTACTTGATTTATACATAAAATGAGTATGCCAAAAGTCAGCTAACCCAACAGACACAACTATGGTGTCACTCTCCAGTGATATATACTGACACACTTCATTGTAATCATCTGTGAAAGAACAAAAAATGAAAACATGTTAAATTATCAACACAACAGTATTGCACTGTTTCTTTGAGTATATATTACCAATGCAGCCAAACATCCATCCACCACCATGAAAGTACACCAGGCCCCTTTTTTTCTCTCCTGAGGCAGCTGTAGGCTCATACACCCTCACTGGAACTCCACTGAAGGCCAAGTCCTTAATACGAAGCCCAGAGGGCACTGTTTTTTTGCGGGCCATGATACAGCATCTGCTCCATCGCATAAAATTAATCTGATGGCACAGCCCCAATCGCCCCAGAATTTGTCCCTAAAGGTGGTTTCAATACAAAAGAGACTTGTTAACAATGATTGGCCAATTCATAATACTCACCGTGTCATTAAATGTGCCACTCAGTGGGTAAAGAAATCCGTTCGGCTATTTGAATTCTGTACTCATATTCTGAGATAAGAAGAACGGCTCATATCTCTTTATCATGCCCTTGAGAGAATATCAAGCTAGTGGCTACAAAAAAATACTCTATTGAACGTGCTATACTCAGTTTTAATAATTATACATCACTGAAGAGTTATTAAATTACTGAGGTGGACTTTGTATTGAGCACGGTTATATTATTAAACAATTCTTTGTGCCAAAACAGAATCACAGTACAATTTCCAGAGGTGGACAAAGTACACAAATCAATTACTTGAGTAAAAGTACAGATACTGCTGGTCAAATATGATTCCATTACAAGTGAAAGTTGTAAAGATTTTTACTTAAATAAAAGTACAGAAGTACTTGCTTTTAAAAGTACTTAAGTACCAAAAGTACATTTTCTTTTTTATGTCAATGGACTGTTTTATTATTTTTCTATTATTGTTGTATGTAATACTTACATTACGCCTAGTTGACAAAAAAATAAAAAAATAAATCATTTAACACCCCTACCCACCAGCAGGATGGTAGTGATCTCACACAGCTCCGGCAGTTTCCAGAAAAAATAATACTCAAGTAAAGTGCAGATACTCAAAAAGTGTACTTAAGTACAATACTCAAGTATGTACTTCGTTACTGTCCACCTCTGACAATTTCACTGGATATTCTCATTTTCAGGGGATAATGTGGCAACCATTTGAAATATTAAACATATAGGGCTAAGCATTACACTTTTTTTAGTCTTAAGTAGAAATGAGAATTTAACAGGAAATCAATCAATATGATTGGATTTGCCAGTGAACACAACACAAAATGCATGAACATTCACCACAATGCTTATCCCCACATACACACAATGAATCACGCGTAGTTTCCCAGGACTAGCAACTCCAGAAGGGATATTTAAATTTCTCAGCTCTAAGTACACTGGGACAACTACCAATAAACAAAAAGCAGCAAAAAAAGCTGCAAATACAAAGAGCAGAATTGCAATTCCAGTATGCATGGCTGCTTCAACGTGCTGCATGCACTGCAAAAAGTGTTCAAAATACATGCTCCCTTCCCTTTTATAGTGCAGGTACAAGGTCAAGTAGTGCCAGGGTTGCCAGGTCTACGAGTTTCACACAAAACAAGATCAAGTTGATTTTTTCCCCACCAGAAAATTAGATTTTAATGTATTTTTTAACCAACCAACAGCCAATTTTCTGCAAAGTAAAACAGATTTTTATATAGACTAGAAGTGTTACAATTGCAATACAGTTCAAATTTCACAAAATAGTGCCATCAGAAACAAGGTAACTATGGGTAACAGCCCTTGTAAAATCATATTACACTGCACACATTTATACAATAAGTAAATGAAAAGTCTGAGCAGAGTGCAAATGAAGTCTTCCAACCCTGACTAATGCCCACTAGGTATGTTCTAACTGACCAGATAACACAGAAGCTAATTAGTAATATCAACAATGCACATAAAAATATGCTGGCTGAATGTTTACATAAGAGATCATTGATGGTGGCACAGCTTTAGAGAAGACAAAACACTGCATATTCATCAACTGTAAACTCAGTTCCTTTAATCCTATTACTATGCAAATACACATGATAAAACTATCTTCCATGACAGGCAATGTTTGCGCTATGGCCACCACTGAGAATACATCAGATTTATTTAGTGAACTTTCAATGTTGATCTGTAGATGGCAGTGACACTCTAACAGAAAAGTGAAAGCCTTTTTGTTCAGCATCATCATGCTGTTATATTTCTACAATAAAATGTGCAAGATAAAATAAAACCTCACAATCATATAAAAACAGAGAATAATTGTTCCACAACATTCTGCAATATTGGAAATTAACTCAGCATCTGTAATTTTGGGCCTGTTTTTGATCAACAGATCAAGAAATGGCCAAATTTAAGTGAAACATGCTATTTCCCCCCACCAGACAACCATTAAGCCTTCTCTGAGAGTTGCTGGGCCATTACTAAGAGGCGCAGCATAGCACAAAGCAGTCTTTGTGAGGCTGCATTTTGACCCAGTCCGGTCTGAGCAGCCCTCCATTCAGCTTTTAAGCAGTAGAAGCAGGGGCTAGGCCAAAAATCACAGTCTGGAATCTCCACAATGGCTCCTGGGTTTACTGCACGAGTTTAAGAGGCATTTACAAAGGTCTCCATGTTCTGGAAGTGCACTGGTCTGCAGGAATCCTTCTGAGTCTGAGCACTGTGGACTGAAAAGAGCAACAGGAGACCCAAGTGTAACAACATTTAGAGCAAACCACATGCTTGTTTACACATACATAACACACGGAAAAGTTGACTTGGAAAACAACTAATTATAATTAATAAAATTTAAATTAATGACAGAAATATTGAGAAAGCTTCTGTCTGAAGGTAATGCAATTTTGTTGTTGTTGTTTGTTTTGTAGAGAAACCTTGCTAAATTGATGCCTAGATCCAGTTTGTAGGACCATTCTTCTTTTGATGTAACAAATATATAACATACTGTATATAACATACCGTATCATTGCCTATATTGTATACTGTATATAACATACTGAAGCATATTGTAAACAAGCCCACCCACTAGTTTACTATGCAGTGAACAAAACAAAAACAGGCTTGCTATGCAAAACAGACAATAAGGTCATAAAATGCCTTTTTAAATCGTGTATAATACTTAATATTAATATACTTTCGGTTGTTGTCTGAGTGACCAAGGACTCCAAGAGGCACTAAACGACACTCTTGAACGTGAACTAACTTAACTGAATTATCTCGTTTATTTACAAGAATCTGCGGACCTTCTGAACAACCCGTTTGTCCAGTTCATCATTAATTCACAACAAGGGGAGAAAAGGGACAGAATAATATGAATGTGTCAAATTGACTGAGCATACACAATTAAAATTACGTAAGTCCGTTATTCATAAGCTCATTTTTATTTATTTATTTTATTAAAGTCATGCTGACAAAATATAGGAAAATACAATTAGACTGCCTTATCATTTGTGGAAAACGGCAGATATACATAAGCAAATTTATTAATAAAGCATAACAGGACATTTTCTTTTCGGCGTTGTGTGTGTGTGTGTGTGCACCATTCGAACCAGCATAATGTGCGCTGAGCGAATCATTTTATTGAACCGATTCAAAAGATTCGAATCACTGGAATGAATCAAAATCCCCACCACTAGTTACAATAAGCACAGGTTGAAAGGCAACGAAATTGCCTGTGGCACCACTTCTGGGGGAGGGGACTTAGCCGTCATAAAGTAACCCTCACGCCAACGTTTGATAAAGCAGTACTTCTGTCAGTCCTCCAGCTGTCAATCAAGATAAATGGTCTCTTTAAAACCCCTATCAGACCCGAGGTATCGTCATAGTTGGATTCTGGCCGCTGTCAGTATAGCGACAGGACTCCGTCTCCGGTGCAAAGCAGCAGCGCACACTTGTCGCAGCAAGAGCTCCGTGGATAAAGAGTTTGTGTGGAATAAAGGTGCGCAAAATGACAGATATTCCGCCGAGGCGCACGTAAACTGCGATGGATTGTGGTAGATAGATGCATTTCACCCTATTTAGTCTCCGTCAACTTTGCAAAATAAGGCGAATTGCGTTATCCACTCCTATAAAATAGGAGTAAAGGTGATCGCTCCGAGCAAGGATTCAATTGGTTCAGCAATTGTTACAGGCGAGAATTGAGACGAAGTGAAATGGATCTGAAGGCGCTGGGCTGCGTGGTGCTCTTACCCATTCAGATCCTCTACTATATTGTCAAGGCGACCGTGTGCTGGTTCTTACCGAGCAGGCGGAGAGATCTGACCGGAGATGTGGTGCTTATCACGGGTGGCGGACGGGGCATCGGCCGTCTCCTGGCTAAGGAGTTCGCCGTACGTGGAGCTAAAAAGGTAAACAGAATGTATCATTACTCTTAGTTATAGCTATGGCTTGGTCATACTGCGTAATATTTCAATTCAAATCTTTCTATGAGTGTACTGTTCGTATAGCCCCATAGTTTGAATACCAGGTGGTCTCCCTCTGTCTTTCTCTTTCTGATTGCTAACTATAAATGATACATCAAAACTATCAAGTCAGATTGCTCAAAGTTTCATAACACTATACATAGAGCTATTTGGCATATAAAACTGCTATTAATATTAAAATAATTTAGCTATATACAATGATGCAATGTTACTATAAAGAAATCTAAATTTATATTCCATGTCTATCATTTATATACCATGTCTGTCTTACTCTTACAAAAAATTACCAGTGTCCACCAAAATACAATGCAAAATATAATACTTTCACCGTGAGAAGCTTTCAGAATCTTGCTGTAATTTAATATAGAGTAATAGAGTAAAATTAAAGTCTAAATGGTTCAAAAGTTAACTGCACCTCCTTAACCACTTTGAATTTAATTATTCTGAGGAAGAATACCAATTTGATTAAAACATTTGTACAGTGTGGCTGTACTGTAATAATCATATCTAGTTACTATAGTATGTATGTGCAAACTGTGGTTATCATGCAAATTTTTGTAAGCTAATCCTCATTAACACACAAATCATTAGCCTAGTAATGGATGCATTTGTTTTGTTTTGCAAAGTATCAGTCTGTATGGTCTACTCCTCTCCCTAGGGACATTACATGCCCTGTTCATAAACCCATTGTCTCAATGGTGCATAGGTCATGACCAATCAAAATGTAGAGCTGGAACCCTATGTCTGGTTCAACTTGTAATACAAACTGGGTCAACTAACAAACAGCTATTTTGAGGAAAAATATCCTTCTTTCAAACTTCGACAGCTCTCATAATCAGATTATCACAGCAGTCTGGGTGGAAAACCCTCTAGAAAAGCCAGTAACCCAGAAGTTCACGGTTCCAGCATCTTTGACCTTGGCCAAATGCTTGGATGATTTGCCTTCTTACTTTTCCTATGAATTTTTACTCTATTACAAGATCTATCTGGAGTATTTAATGGCTTAATTAGGCTAAATCTCTCACGTTGGCAGAAGCGTAATGTTTTTGTGTCTCAGCAGTCAAATTGCAAAGCACAATGAAAGCACTAATGAAACAAGACTGTGTGCTGAAAGTCAAGAGCTGGGAAGAAATGTGCCAGCTGCCTCACCCACCCAAGAAATTGCATTATAAATAGACCCAGTGGCCCAACTGTAATAAACAGAGCTTAATAACTTCTGTATCCACAGTGACAGGGGCCCCCATGCTTGGCGGCGTTACACCCAGGGCTTTACTTTGATTTACACACATTTCCCACATTGTGTGTATGGGGCCAAATAAAAACCCATCATAAAAGTTGCAACGCAAATCTCACACAGTAAACAATTCAGAGACCTTAGATCCCTGAATGCTCACAGACACAACTCCCCTTTTACATCGTCCCAGGGCAAAGGTCTTTGAAAGCAACAGCTTTGCAGCAGTACGTTAAAGGAAGCCATTGTGCTTGTCAACATCCCGTTGTTAGCCATTGTCAAGGTGTGAAGGCTTTGCAAGAGACACCTGCAGTGGCTATCTTCACAGTTAGCCCAATGCTAAAAAGGCATGAATCATAAATGCACAGGCTCAGATTTAACTTGACCACTAGGTGGGGGTTGTAATTTTCCAGAAAGCAGCCATTTATTATGGCGTCCAAGAGATCAGCAAGTCCTCACTGCATGGTAATTCAACACTGGAAATAGTTTGCAAGAATTATGTCATCGCCCTCTAACCAAACCCTAAACGATGATTTGAAGAACCAAGAAAAAAAAAATTCTGGAACTCTTAAAAACAAAGGTTCTTTATTGGCATCTATAGATCCATGAAGCCTAAATCCTTTAATATTCATTGAACCTTTCCATTGCACAAAAAGTTCTTTATAGTGGAAAAAGTTTCTTCAGATTATTTAAATATTCATTGCACTAAGAAAAAAATCTAACTTTTCTCTGAAATAATCCTTAGGAAAACCAAAATGGTTCTTCTGCAAAAAAAACCCTTTTGGAACCTGTGTATAGAAGCACCATC